CAAAAGGAAATTAGCTTTTTTTACAGGGAAAATTAAAGGAAACCATACTTTTTTTAAAAGGAAAGTGAAAGGAAATGATTATTTTGAAAGGAAAATGAAAGGAAATGATCATTTAAAAGGAAAATGAAAGGAAATGATCATTTTTACAGGGAAAAGTGAAGGAAACTATATTTTTTTAAAAGGAAAGTGCAAGGAAATCATTATTTTTTAAAAGGAAAATGAAAGGAAATGATAATATTTAAAAGGAAAATGAAAGGAAATGATCATTTTTACAGGGAAAATTAAAGGAAACCATATTTTTAAAAGGAAAATGAAAGGAAATTACTATCTCTAAAAGAAACATGAAAGGGAAGGATCATTATTTTAAAAGGAAAACAAAAGGAAATTACTATTTCCCAATAGGTGCACTAAGATGGCACACCAGAGGAAGCTAAAGGAAAACGAATAGAAATGATCATTATTTTAAAAGGAAAACAAAAGGAAATGATCATGTTTTTTGATATGGTTAAAAATGAAACTCATTCAAAGCCATTGACTTGTACATGCTTGAACCGGCTATGGCAAAGCACAGCTGTCCACAGGCCATTCGTTCAGTCCGTCATTCCAAAAAACAAGAGAAAGCTTCTCTAAGATGGCACACCGCAGGCCATTCTTTCAGTCCGTCAGTCAAAAAAAACAAAGGAAAGCTTCTCTAAGTTGGCACACATCGCAGAAAAAAGGGCACTGCTGGATGCTCAGTCTTGTCCAAGACTCGGCAAAAAGACTATATATAGTCAATCTCTCGCTTCTTTTTCTTTTCCTCTTTGTCAATTTCTTATTCTTTTCCTTCTTGTCGGCTTGCCAAAAGAATTGCTTTATGGAGGAGGGCACTTGGAAGCTTGAAAGCTACCTTTTTTTATAGTTTTTTAAAAGCGTATTTATATAGGAATTTCAAGGCATGGTTTTGGAATTCCGGGTGATTTATATAAAGTTGTTTGTTTGCGTGGCTCACTACGATGGCACACCACGATGGCACACTGACATGATCATTTCCTTTCATTTTCCCTTTAAACCTGATCATTTCTTTTCATGTTCCTTTTTAAAAATGATAACTTCCTTTCGTCTTGCTTTAAAAATGAGAATGTCCCTTCATGTTCCTTTTTAAATATGATAGTTTCCTGTAAATTTCCTTTAA